ATCGCTGTAATATCGGACAGGAATGTCAAGAATCGTATTAATACGCCTTCTGCTATAATATATCTTTGTCTAAATCAATATCTTCAATCTATTTTGTAAAGTGTGTGTAAATCTAAAATATACAAAATATAATATTCAAAATCAAACACTTTATACAGAAAGAACTTTAAGTGTACCAATTCCTTTTTTCTTTTTCGTAACGTTCATGCAAACTGAGGGATCTTTAAGATCAACAAAACAATCAAAAGAAATCCCACACAAAAATTGGTCATTCGATTTTTCAAAGGAGTATATCTTTACTCGAAAATTTCTGACATTTGAACAAGCAAACAAACAAGCCAACTTACATAAAAAAAACGAAACAAACAGAAATACACGTAATTTATTAATGGGTGGCTAATCGTCTTTCAAAGCGAGGGGGGGGGGGCACTTACTGGAGAAATAAAGGACACTTACAAAGGGAAACGTCAAATGGAAAATATATATAATTTGGTTAGACATCGGTGTATATTATTATATATATACACCTTACATCGTCTTTAGAAGGACACTGTGAAAAAATGAGTCATAGACATTGGTCATTAGCAGGACATTTTCGTGTCCTGTTAACGATTGAACAAAAGAAGTATTGTCCTCAACGTACATTTGCAGGCAGAAGAAATGTTAAGGCCTCCCAAGAAACAAGTAGTAATGTTGTTTTGAATTTAGTGTTTTGGTTAGGGTTAGGGTAATATACCAGTTTGTATAATTTACGGTTAATGTACCATTTGGGGTTATATATAGATGTCCTGACAAAAACAATGGCATTTACAATGATTTTTTTTAAATTTCTTTAACGGCCCCTTCTGGGGCATGCAAGAAATATAGTTGAATAGTACAAATATAATAATAAACATTATTATTTAAAAAAAAACACTTACAGAAAATCTTTAAAAACAAGAAAATCTTTGGCAGCGAACAACAAACAAATTAAGTCAAGCTTTCGAATATACTTTAAAAATATGCATGATACCCTATATCTCAACTGGCAGTACTAAAACTACTATATACATGTATATACAATATGATACTAAAAACGACAACAACCCATTTAACCAAAACTCTAACGTATTAAAAAGGACAAAACAAATTATCCAAAGTTAGACATAATGATCTAACAGGATTTGGAAAGGTTCTTTAACTGCTTAACCGAATTTGCATTGAATAAATGATGGATAATTTGATAACGTTAGGTCTACTGTAATAATGTTTCTTAATATACTGCTTACGAAAGTCATTGGAAGCTGAAAACACCAGAACATAATGAAATTTACCAGCCTGTAACTTAATATTAAACAGGGAACGTAACTCAAGAGGTTTCAAGTTCAAGTTCAAGTTTATTTGTCCACATTTTTACACAAAATAAAAACATACATATAAAATAAAAAATATATAATATAATTGTAGTATAAATGACCACATGTCATGATTCTCAATTTATATAATAGATAAAGTAGAATGTGAGGAACCTATTAAAAAGTGATGCTTGTATAATCAAGGTTCCTGGAAAAATAGGCAATGTAGATGGAAAACAGGAGCAGTAGAGAAAATGGAAATTTAGAGGGGAGAATTTAAAACACAATGAAATAAGGTTGATCAGATAAATAACGACATTTGGTAACTGGCAGCTTATCATTACCACAACGAAATTATTAAAGAGATATCTATCACCTACGTCCAATTTCAACAAATAGCTCTCCAACCACCTTCCTGTTTAGAAAGTCTATAATTAAAGCACAAACAATTTCTATTAACTTCATTATTCCAATTTTGCAAATCAATATCATTTAATCTATTAAGGTCCCAAGATGACTTAAGCCTACCTAGGTTCAAGGGGGTATCCTCAACCCCAACGTTTGACATTCCACTCTTGTCTAGAATATTTTTAACTTGTTATCCTGATAATAGAACATGTAGGGATATACAGGGTGTATATTATACAAATAATGAATGGTTATGAGTTCAATAGTGCGAATATTTTCATGAGTTGAAAGATTAACATTCTATTCAACGAGGCGTCAGCCGAGTTGAATAGAATTAATGTTAATCTTTCAACGAATGAAAATATTCGCACCATTGAACGAATGAAAAACATTCATTATTTGTTTTATACAACATCGAAGAAGATCTAATAGAACGTTAATCAACAAATTATGCTTTACTCCTTATATTTAAGATAAATTCAAGTTGGATTCAAGCCTTCTCGATTACATTCAGATTGCCTTCGCGTCAGATACACGCAGGGATACGCGCGCGCACGGCAGAGAGGTACGCAGTCTGCATATAACCAAAAAAGCACGGCGCATATAACCAAAAATGCACGACCGTGCAATATACCATCTATTGAATATCATGTGACCAACAATCCTCCAATCAAATGACAGGGATCCACGTAGGTGTTGTATAAATATATATATATATATATATATATATATATATATATATATATATACACTGTTGGTCATAATGGTGGAATAAATATTTTTACCCTAATTTATTGAATGATTTTGACAATGATTTATTCCTAATAGATCTAGATAATAGTATACATTCTCAGATTTTATTGAATGACAATTAGGGAGTGTTTGTTTTGCGTGACTGCTAAAGCATATGTGTGCTACTATACTAATCAACTAGGGGACCTACGTCCTTAAGTCATAACTGACAGTAATGGGGATTAATGCCTCATAAAAGAGCACTAATATAGCACATCGACACGGTTTTGATCCTGGGGGCTCACAGTAACGAGGCCATTACTTAGCCGATGAATCATGACTGTACGCAGCGGGCGCTAGGGTACGTCGACGCCCCACATAAACAAAAAAACAAAAAATGCAATAATTTTCAATAATTCATTGCATTTCCCCCAGTCCCCAACAGGAAAAATTCCTCTGTAGGGCAATGCATTATGGTTCAAGGCATGCCCACATAGAAGATTTTGACCAACATTATGACCAACAGTGTATATATGTATATATATTCATGATCTTACATGGAAAATTAACAGGACATCTTTCTCCTTCTCATTGCAACATATTTTGCATTGGAATTGAATGTCTAGTTGAATTTATAACAAATTTACCCCACAGACCAAATAGTCAATATTTTGGGTGACTAATATTCTTAGAAATAGTTTTGAAATCTACGCAACACCAAATGTTATTCGTTTGTACACTGCAAAAACCAGGGTGTTAAATTTCTAACACCAGTATGGTATTGAATTTTTTGACACCATTGGTGTTATTTTTAACACCGGTCAGATTTAAGCATGCATTAATAATTACTTGGTGTTAAGTAACATGGTGTTGTTTTATGCTCGGTGTTGAAAGTATCATCACGTGATTACGTTTAAGATGGTTGATTGGTCGAATAAGTTTTCACAAAGTGTACGCGTGGTAATGATTACTTTACACGTGTTCACAGAAGAATACATTTATCATGATTTGTTAAGCAAATTATGACAATTCACATCAATTTTGTGATTTGCATTTTCCTTTGGCAATTATTAACCAATAGATTATTTGTCCGATCTAGTTACAATTACATTAACGTTTTAGCAGTAGATATATTGATTATAAGATTACTAACAAAGGCACAACATGCATATTTATTATATTTTCGTGTACCAGCCTGTATCATTTAAATGTTAATCTTGAAATTACTTCAAATGATCTATGTGATGGAGATTATGAATTATCAGTTTACCATTGGTTCTTCTACCCTGGTCGATAATGGTCGATAATAGGAAATGTGGGAATGTGGGACCATTAGATCAACAAGAATGTAATCACCAAAAGTGGAATTGAATTTGTTATGATTCCAGATATTGTTGTTAATCTACACCAGTAGGAGTTGTCAAATATTACCACCAAGAGTGGAATTGAATTTGTTATGATTCCAGATATTGGTGTTAATCTACACCAGTAGGAGTTGTCAAATATTAACACCAAAAATAGAATTGAAATTATCTAATTCCAGAAAATGGTGTTAAGTAACACCAGAGGAGTTGTCCGATATAGATACCAAGAGAGTGTTAAATTGAACACCCTTGGTTTTTGCAGTGTACCTGGTCACTCATTTTGCATCTTACACCTGATTGGTTTAAACCTTTACTTCCTACCAGCCGGAAGAACCAGGTAGCAAAACTGTGTTTCTTCTTGGAAATATCTGACCATTGGATGTTAACATTCCTCCCTTCACTTCAACTCTTATGGGCATAAGCTTTCTTCTTCAGGAATAGTCATAAGAACCCTGACTCACGACTAATGTGACGTCTGACCAGCGTCATACTTTTCATTATTAACTCGGAAAACTTTTACCGGAGGTCTTTTTCTTTCTTCCCATGAAAATTATGAATGTTTTAGAATATTCTATATCAAATGCAAAATGCAGATGACATAATTGATACAAAATATTAACAATGTTTTTGCATATCATAATAAAGAGCCTTATTACAGGCTAAATATGGGTATTCAAAGTAATCTCTTGCCAGTTTGAATGGGTGAAACACTTTGAGAGATGGGTGAATAGAGAGAGCGAGAGAGAGAGAGAGAGAGAGAGAGAGAGATAAAAAAAAAAAAAAAAAAAAGAACGAGAGAGAGAGATCGAGGTGGACAAAACAAATATGAAGAAACAGGAAAATTTCCAAGTAAAAGAATAAAGTAAAGTAATAGAAATAAGAAATATTAGCTGCACAGCGTGATAAGAATATAATTGGAAGCGAAACAATAGTTCTCTGCCAAGTAGTGTGGCGGTGGGCAGTGCCTTGGGGTTAACAACTGATTTAATTGCTATCCTGACCATGTATATAATAATGCACCTAGCGTGCCTAACGGGATACTCAAGAATTAATGATACTAATTGGAACTGATGATCCATCTCTTGAAAAGATCGTTTCTATTTCTGCTTACATCACATTTTTTTTCTTGTTCTCGTTCTCAAAATCGATGCTCTCCTTGAATATTCGAAAATTGTACGAACTACATAAAAAGAAGACAAACTCGAATCTCCACAGAGCTGGGCAGCTACGCTAGATGGACCACGATCTCGTTTCTGACTTACATGTCATACTTCAAAGGACTGAGACAGATATTTGATCATTTTTTAGTTAAATTAATGAAGGCTGCTTTTCGTTTAGACATTGGAAGAATCATCGCTTTATATTGGTTATGTGACCAAAACTATTGTGTGCGAATATACAAAATCAGAATTCTTTTAGTAGACGTATAAGGTCTAGACATTTCACGTCGTATTATATTTGTTTGTTTAGAGGCTAAAGTGTGGCGTGAGCTTCGGATGTGTAGAAGATTACTTTTCAAAGACCAACCGATGTAGTAGCCATAAGAAAGTGATCATACAGTTGCAAATTAAAACGAAAAATCCCCTTTACACCGCGCAAAGGGATTGAAAACGATCTTTGAGACAACGGATTTTATAATTGTATATTCTCCATTGCAATGTCGAGCATTAATTTTCCGATTAATAATGCTTTGGACGAGGATTTGCCAGGGACAGGCAAACCCGATGGCCCACCTCGGTTCAATGTTCCTGACATGCTTGGAGCGCCATTGCAAAGTGTTGCCAGTGCCATTTTGATCATTGTCTACGCCTCTCTTATCATCACATCTAACATGGTTATGCTCGTCGCATATGTCATAGAGAAACGACTTCAGACATACAATAATTCCTTCATTATCAATCTCATCCTAACCGATTTGATGGTTGGTTTCTTGCTTATTGTCCTTTTCGTGAGTAACTGTCACCCAGGGGTATTCTGGTGTAAGATATTTCTCGGCATCAACGACGGTGTCCTAAGTGTTTCCGTGATCACCATCGTCGTCATCTGCGTTGATCGATACCAAGCCATCTATCAACCTATCAAACATTTCACAAGCAGGAGCAAAACCAAAGCGTATCTCCTTAATGCTATCCCTTGGGTAGTGGCTTTCATTTTCTGGCTCCCTTTTGCATTCTTCGGGTTCGATGCCAGCACTCCGACTGATGGTGACCGCCTCATCAGGATCCTCCTGCTGTCACTTCCGGTGATGATGACTATTCTACCACTTGTCATCATCACCGTCTTGTATGCCAGAATCCTAAACAAGATACGAAACTCCCTAGGAGCGCAACATCTAAAAGACAAGTTCGATATAAAGTCCAGTGGTTGTGAGGAAGGGCCAAATACTGGGACTTCCTCGAATGGTGGGTCTAAGTTGGTGCCGCATCATCAATCCAAAGATGAATCCAAGATTGCGATGAAAAGCACGGATGTTCAGCAGACAGGTCAGAACAAAAAGGTATGACATCATTTTTTTTGGAAACACGTTCATAAAAACATCGAATTTTACATTTTAATTTTTTAGATTTTATTGGTGTATAAAAATTGACCAGCGGGACAGTCTGAAGGGATCATTTTACAAATAGAACATTGCTGTATAATTTTTGAAGGGATGTTAACAGTTATAATTATTTTTACCCCCAATTTATTGAATGATTTATTGAACTTGAACTTGATTTTGACAATGATTTATTCCTAATAGATCTAGTTAATAGTATACATTCTCAGATTTTATTGAATGACAATTGGGGAGTGTTTGTTTTGCGTGACTGCTAAAGCATGTGTGTGCTACAATGCTAATCAACTAGGGGACCTACGTCCTTAAGTCATAAATGACAGTAATGGGGATTAATACCTCATAAAAGGGCGCTAATATAGCACATCGACACGGTTTTGATCCTGAGGGCTCACAGTAACGAGGCCATTGCTTAGCCAATGAATCATGCCTGTACGCAGCGGGCGCTAGGGTACGTCGACGCCCCCACAAAAACAAAAAAGCAAAGAAAATGCAATAAATTTTCAATAATTCATTGCATTTTGCCCCGAACCCCAACATAAAGAAATCTTCTATGTGGGCATACCTTGAACCATAGTGCATGGCCCTACAGAGGAATTGTTCCTGTTGGGGACTGGGGGAAAATGCAAAGATTTATTGAAAATGTATTGCATTTTCTTTGTTTTTGTGTTTTTGTGGGGGCGTCGACGTACCCTAGCGCCCGCTGCGTAGTCATGATTCTTTGGCTAAGCAATGGCCTCATTACTGTGAGCCCCCAGGATCAAAACCGTGTCGATTGGCTATATAAGTGCCCTTTTATGAGGCATTAATCCCCATCAATGTCAGTTATGACTAAGGACGTAGGTCCCCTTGTTGACTAGCATAGCAGCACTCACATGCTTTAGCAGTCACACAAAACAAACCCTCCCGAATTGTCATTCAATAAAATCTGAGAATGTATACTATTATCTAGATCTATTAGGAATAAATCATTGTCAAAATCATTCAATAAATTGGGGTAAAAATAATTATTCCACCATTATGACCAACAGTGGTTATGATAAACAAAACGAAAAATGCAAATAATTATACACTGCATCAGTTGGCCTACACACGTGATATCAAAGAGATAAGGAGAGATACATTAAAGGTAGAAACAGAGAGAGAGAGAGAGATAACTGAGGAGAGGGTAAGGGCGATAGAGAGAGAGAAAGAGAGAGAGAGAGAGAGAGAGAGAGAGAGAGAGAGAGAGGAAAGAGGAGACAGGGAAGGGAAAGAGGTGGAAAGGACGATGTGAATACTAAAAAAAGAAGGGGAAAGGAATTTCTATGGGCAATACAACGTAGGTATTGCGATCTTGTTTCACATTGAATTGAACAAAACGACTTAATAGAATGAAACAATGGCACATTATTTTATAGGGACCGATTGACTATCGGAAGATTTAGAATTCTTCTGTAGTCTCGGTATTTTGGCTAGAGGGCGGATGAGTTTCTGATTTGAGGCCCAGATCGAGATTGCTAAATAGGCGAATGGACTAAAATTCACGGATCGAAGTTTTTCTCATTCCGCCCTTGCACATACCTATATCTGCTTTTATTCCCGTCATAATATTACACAAGTTAGACGGATTTTAATCATTAATCATTTAATCATCTGTTTAAACTTTCTATTTGGAAAAGTGAATGGGTTTTTGTATGTTTTGACAAATTTCTCAACTTAATGTATGCCGTCAAAATGTCTAACTAAGAGACCTCTTTTAATATCCATGGGAAATTGGTTCGAATTTGGTTTAGTGACACCCTCAATTGAAGAACTTAAAGGGGAGAAAGGATAAAACATTCAACTGAAGAAATAATGAAAATTGTTCAAGAAATTTTAGATTGCATGTTTGAAGGAGATAAAAAGCAAGAGCATGTGATTTCTTGCTATTTTAATTTGATCGTTTTGTGATTCTGAAAAAATGCAGGACAAAACCGTGAGAGCCAATGACACAATATTCCTTTAACATAACTCAACGGTCCTTCCTTCATATTATGCTCCATATGCTTGTATATTTTATTTTATTCTTATTTTATTAGTCAAAGAGAAAGCGTGAATACCGTGAATCCGATACTTCAGCTCGCAAGGCAACACGCAGCCTTTCGTTCATCATCATTTCGTTCCTGGTGTCTTGGATGCCCCACGTCATCTTCGTCATCGTCACCAGCTCCGATCAGTCCATCCTTTTGGAAAGAAAGCTCCCCGATGTAGTGCTCGCCTTCATCTCCACGATTCGCTTCACCAACAGTTTCCTAAACCCGGTGAGTTACGCCGTTGCACAACCTCTCTTTCGCCGAACCGTGGCGGGGATGATCTGCAATCCTAAACAGTACTGTTGATTAAACGATACATCGCCTGAGAAAGATGGCTTTTGGATAACGGGCACAAATCGCCCACAGAAGCTGTTCTAGAGGGGGTGGAGAACGCCCCTCCCCTTATCCTCCTTTATGCCGAAAATAAAGTAAAGAACCCCAATCACTATTTGTATTACTATTATCATTATTATCGTTATTGATATCATTATCATTATTATTATTATGATCATATTCATCATCATTATTAGTGGTAGTATTTTTATCAAAAGCAACATCCACATGTTACTTTTAGGCGAGAGGGGATGGGGAGCTGTTAATTGAGAGTTTACGAAGTTTTCCGCCCGGGCTGTTTGGTATCTCTAGCCACTAAGTTCGAGTCTGAGTGCCGGTTGATCAACACATTAAAAAAAAAATTGCTTCGATCAAAAAAAGAAAGAAAAATAACCTGTTTAAATCGCACAAGCCCTGTCCCTTTTACCTTCCTATCTCTATTGCTTAACACCTCGTTTTCCAGTCGTTCTGCCCCGTCCCTCCAAAAACCCTTTCCGTACCAACACAAAAATAACTTGTCTAATAATGATTCGTCCGCCCTGAAAGGTTTGATGACAGATGACGATATAGTCATCAAACAAGCAGACAAAGGGGTGCTTTTGTACTAATGGAGAAAGATTTCTATATTTTAAAAATGAATGATCAATTAGACAAAAGAGAAACATACAATGGGCTACCCCAAAAAGAGAACAAAGAAGTAAATTACTTCTTTGTTCTCTTTTTGGGGTAATTTTTTTTTTTCATTAAATGAAGACAATAACAGACCTCGAGAAGAAAAAAAGTAGTTTCACAAAAAAAAATCATATATTTCGAATATTGAATATAAGAACATTCATTTGTATGGTTTGCCTAAAACACATCAAAGTAAACGTATCATAGAAAACGTTTTAAAATAGAAAAAGCTCTTTTTGTACAATGTAGATCTGATGTGAACTGAAACATGAGGCCAATAGTTGGAGGACCAGTATTTCCTATTCACCGTGTAAGCAATCTTTTTTATATTGTACTGAAACCATAATTGACACATGTAAAGAGCTTTATCCGAGATAGTGTAGAAAATATTAAAGATAATACTTTTTTAGTTACGTTTGAAACTAATATTGGTCATGAAGTTAGTTTAGATGCTATTCTATATTGATTTGAAACATATCCTCAAGAGTTGGAAACTAGAATAACCAAAGAGTTACGAATTTGGATCCGCCAACTTTTATGACGAATGTTGGCGAAAATCAGAGACTCTTAGTGTTGCGAAAGGTTCGTGGAAGGTTGCGGGAGGGTTCGCAAACGGTTTTCATTGTCGCGAACGGTTTTCTTCTCGCAATGAGCGAATTCATTTGTCTGCAAACGGTTGCAAGCGCTTGCAGAGCAGTCGTAGGCTCTTTGCAAACGGGTCCTATATAGAATCGATCCATTGAGTACCAGGAGTTTTCGCCAACATTCGTCAAAAAAGTTGGCGAATTCAAAAATTAGTAACGTTCGTAAAGGGGGTATCGCACTGAGCGGCGAATGCTTAATTATGATCACGTGCATGTCGCTAGTATTGGCGAATACAAAAGAACTTTAGCGACACCATCTTACAATCTTACGACTGTTTTGCAACAACAAAAATAACCAAAGAGTTTGTTCTAGAAGCCATTGAGTTGATACTGCGTAATGGTGTACTTCAATTTGATGGTACATGTTATCAACAAATCAATGGAACAGCAATGGGCACCCAGATGAACCCAACACATGCAAATATGTTCTTCGGGTATTTTGAAAAAGATCTTTACGAGAAAGTAGAAGAACTCATTTCAAAAGAAGCCATATTATACGTGGAGAAAAATTGGCTAAGATACCTCGATGATTGTTTTATAATATTAAGATTTTGGAGACGTTCCATTATTTTGCGGTATCCTGCAAAATATTCATAAAGATATTTCATTCAAAATTGAGGTTTCAAGAGAGAAGATGCCGTTCCTGGATATACATGTAATGAACATAAATGGAAAGTTGGAGACGAATATACATTATAAAGTAACTGACACTCATCAGTATTTGCATTTTGACTCCTGTCATCTACGCCACACAAAAAAATATACCATATAATCTGGCAAGAGGAATTTGTACAATTGTATCGAATAAAGAAGTGAGAGAAAGAAGATTAGAAGAATTAGAATTCATGCTCATGCTTCAGACATATCCGAAACACTTGAGTAGGTACACAAAAGGCACGTAATATAAAATGTTTTGAGACAAACAAAAACGAAAACAAATCAAGAAGAAAATATATTTTATGTAATACATACAATCCCAATAATGGGAATTTTTCAAACACTAGCAAACAAATGTTCCTCCTTTAACTAAAGATTCTCAGGTAAAAAAAATAATTGGGAAAACGAAATACGTTTCAAGTTGGAGACAGGCGCCTCATTCAAAGAAAATGTTGACCTTAGCGTAATTGGAACAAAGACAAGGGGGAACTATTAAACAAATTGATAAGAAATATAAAACGTGCCCATATATGCCCACCACTAATAACATTATTTACAACAGAAATTGGAATATAATTTGAAAAAACCGTTGAAATTAAAAGATACACTTTCATGCACATCTATAAACTTGCTTTATTGTCTAAATTGTAATGGTTGTGGAAAACAACATATCGGAGACACAGGAAATATTTTAAGGACTAGAATGACAACCCATTGTCAACATATAAGAGATTAAAAAAATATCAAATTCTAAATGTGAGTACACATATATCAAGATTTGCAAAAGGAATAAATACAAATTTGATGTCATACCTTTTTAATAAATGAGGACAGAAAATGAAACTGAACATAAGATTAAAGAAAAATATTTAATAAATTTATTTCAGTCAGGGTTGAACTAGCCTTAGTTGAACAAAGAGAATGATGCGGTTGTTATATGAATGCATGCATAATGCATTTATGATATAACAACAACCCATTACATGTCTAATCAAGTACAAATGGAGATAGAGAATGACATAAGATGATTTTAACTATGATGTAACAGTGCGTAATATGGAAATTATGTAGCCAAGCAACGCGCCATTTTAGCACAATGCGCATTTACGTATTGTATGTTTAATGATATTTCGTTGCACTTGTTTGTGATTTTGAATTCGCTATTTATGGTGTAGAAATATAACAATATAATATCATAATTCTGTTACCAAGCAACGCGCCATTTTGGCGCAATGCGCTCGTACGTATTTTTTGTATAAATTTGTTGCATTTGTTTGTTAATTGTAATTTTTAATTCACTATCTGAAAAAATAAATTTGAAACCGGTCATAGTTAAGAAGAGAACGCTCAAGGATTTTGCATTTCAATTGTTTTAATTATGCTTTGTATATTGCCGTTACGGAGGATTATCCATATTTAATTTTTTTGTTCTACATAAATAAATAAATATATATTTTCAAATTAAATATGATATTTTTTCAATTTGTATGTATATTTTGATCAACTTGGTCACTTTACTTATAATTTTACAAGTTGTGTCTATTAAAGTGCAAATTTATATAAAACTACTGATAAGAAATTAAAAATAATCTTTGGTCATTTTTATTTATATTTTAGTCAATATGTTTACTTTATTTAATTTCAACAGTTGTGTCTTGTAAAGTGCAAATAATAATCAACTGAATCAGAAACTTATTATGTTTGTTCATTTTGATCAATATGAGACTTTCATGTTAATGTGCAATTTTACCCGGTTGTTTCTCTTTTAGTGGATACAATTAACCAAAGTCAACTCAATGTTTATTAAAAAATCAAAGGAGAAGTCCATCCTGATATTAAATTGCTCTTAATGAAAGCTAGAAGCTGACAAATGAGAGGAACAGGTCAGTGAAACATTGAGCAATTTCCGATCGAAATAAGAAAGTGATGATTTTTGTGAGTTGCGATCTATCAAACACAAACTGGTAGCTCTGGGATGTAGCTTGCGAATATGTTTCTATTCGACCTATGTAACGAAAATATCTGTTTTGTCATCAAAGAGCGAAGAAAAGGAAAGATTATTAACTTTGCGTGCTCCTCTCCTAGTTATTAAAAAAAGTAAATTGGAGAAGAGCACGCAAATTACGTCACGGTGTTGCAGATAATTTTGTGTTTGATTGATCGCAAGTTCAAAAATTCATAACTTTCTCATTAGTGAGCACTAATTCTTTTTCCCTCGAAAATTTTAAAATCGCACCCCCCTCCCTCTTAGGCACCAGGGGAGGGGGCCTGTCTCCAAATAAAGGTAACATTAATGTGTTTTTACCTGTTTTTTCACAGGGGTGGGGGCCCCTACCCCTGGATCCGCCACTGCTTTACGTGACCGTTAGCCCGTAGACCGAAAATGTCGGTCTCGGGTGCCTTCTATACAGCATGGGTATATAAGATAGATGTCCATGTATACAGTAAATTATGTCTAGTCCCTTTTCACAGGGTTCACTAATATAGACCGACATCCCACAATACCAACAGCCCACGAGACGAATTCTTTGGCCTCTGGCCACTTCTATTTAATTCTTTATTTTGTCTTAACTTTTTCATGGGTATACTTGGTTTCATGGGCTGTCCGTATTGTGGGATGTGGGACAGTTTGGAACTTTCTTCTTTGCTGTATTTTTTGTTTGTATTTTCTTTGTTTTGTCAGTCTCGTCGACAGTTGCCCCCTCCCCCTCCCCCCCTCTCTCTCTCTCTCTCTCTCTCTCTCTTGCTCCTTCTTTCTCTTCATCTTTACTCCTTTCCTTTCCTTTCTCTCCCTCAGTTTTAGCATAACATTGTTTAGCACACTGATATATTAGCTCAAATGCGAACACAACCATACCCATACTCGCTTCAATCACTCTTTTTTGTCTTATATTCTAACTCATAGTTTGTTTCACCTATGTATAGGTTCACATATCAATAGATGATATTTTTACTATCAAACAAACTCGGTAAACTGTAAATAATGAAACAGCAGACAGATTTGCGGGATTTCTTTCTTGATTTATTTTTATAAAAAAACTATAAAAATATACAGATTCTGAAGTTCACTAGAATCAATGTACAATATTTTGTTTTAAAATAGTCCAAAATTACTTCACAAGCATAAAATGTGGTCCAAAACAAAGACAAGTCAAATAGTTGATCTAAAAAATTAATCCAAAAGTATTAGACCAAGCTAAATAATCATTCCAAAGCTATAAGTTCAAAACAGTCAGTCCAAAACAATCATATTCTAAAAGGATTAGTCCAAAACAGTTATTCCGAAACAGTAATTCAGTTCAACGCAAATAGGAAGAGAGATGTAGATGAAGAATGAGACATGACATTCCATCGCACCGTTTTAAACTAGAAAGAAAGCAAAGAGGGAAATCTACAATGTGTAAGATTAGTATTAGTATGAGATTAGTTGTTTTTGTGTGTCTTAAATCCTCTTTTGCGAATTTGGGACTCCCACACTTTAGAGGGGCTTTAAGAAGTGATCTGCCTTAATTGACATGATATTGCAT